GCTCATCGTTACTATGAGTACTACTGAAACAGGAGGATGGGCAGTGCAATCATTATTACCACACCAGCGCCCTGGGGCCAGATTCTCGAAGCAGTTACGCAAGCACTTACGAACGTGTACATCTTTCCTCAGTCTGTGACGGCTTTGGTTACATTTATTAAACAGTTTACAAGCATGAAAACTTGCCAATCAACTGTTGTTATTGTTATAAACAGCCTCCTGGTGCTTCGGAGCTCATTAACTGTTTAATAATTGTAAACAAAGTCGCCAAAGATTGAGAAAAAAATGTACAGGTTCGTAAGTACTTGCCTAACTGCTTCGTGAATCTGGCCACTGGACTCCGAATCTTAACAGCGTTACCAGATAAGTAACTACACCCCCCTATGTTATTCCTGCAACAAATCAGGATATCCTGAGGATATCCTAAGGATATTCTGAGTCAGGTATTGGGTCATCCTGGAAGCCCCTGTTGCCAGATTAGGAGAGTGATTTTGCTGAATTATTTAGAATAATTGCACCAATTATATTATTAAGAATCCATCCTAAAGAGGATTTTATATAATATATATTATTAATATATGTAATTATTCAACCCATTCTTCTATATTCATAGCATCTATTTGGCCAACTGTCCATTAGGAACTGTTAGAACTATATATATATATATATATATATATATATATATATATATATATATATATATATATATATATATATATATATATATATTGTGACGATAATCTCTTTCAAGAGAGATTGAGCCTGCTCTTCCCTCCAAAGTACGTCACATTAACAGATAATATAGAAGATATATCCAACAAGTATCACCAAAACGTTTTGCCCAGAGAGCAAAACGTATCCAGCACACCAGCACACCTGCTCGCCTCCGCCACCGTTAACCGGCAAACTGCTTGTCCATCGCCTGCCTGTCGCTGATTGGCTGGTGTCCAGTCGCACCTGCCCCACCACCCTCCGCCACTAGTTGATGTCTGGGCTGCAGCGACCCAGAGAAGGCAGAATATTCCAGTGCTCCATGCAGGTGACACGTCTCATTGGTAGACTAAGCCTTGGCTTACGTGTACTAAGGGAGGTGGCAGCTCGAAGCCAATATTCCGGCACTATCATTCTTATTTACTTTGCTATTATTCACTTGTCTTAACGTAACTTTTCATTTGCCAGTGATTATTCTTATTATTTTGTTTGTTGATTTGTCTGTTACATTTTATGCTCAATTTTATTCATGTCTTGCTTTTCTAACGTAATTAAAATTTCATTGTTAAATTTACTTGTGTTTTGTGTGTCTTCCCATTACCTTACCACAGACGAAAGTTCCAGCTTTTCTCTTTTTTTTCTTTATGTGACGAGGCCATGCCCCTAGCTTTTGAAACAGCCGAACACCACCGCTTTAGCGTCACAATAAATATATATATATATATATATATATATATATGCCATAATTCCAGAAGCATTTACACATATATTTACAAACCTGAACATTTTTAATCACTCAAAAAAAAATCATTTTTAATCAATCAATAACTCTTTTGTTTACAGTTATTAAACAGTTTAAGAGAATCTGTTTCGCTTAAATAGAATCTACTTTGTGAATCCGATGAATTAGAAAACCCCCATAATCCGGTGCTCTAATATACATCAACACGTCGAATTGTTAACGAATTGGTCAATTATGTTAAAATATCGACGGGGTTCAAGTGAGAGGACAGGTTGTATTGAGAACATCAGATGCGGTTGAGAACTTGTATATATAAAAAAAAGTGAATGCCAGTGAATACTTTATTACTTATACATTACTACTACGCACTTTCATCTCTTCCACGAAGTAGTAACACCTGCCAGCAGTGGCCCCATAGAAAGTTTTTATTGAATAATAAAAATCATATGTCGAGAATTTTGGGAGGAAAAAGTAATATATCTAATTGAACAGCTGCCAAAGGCTGGCTATATATATATATATATATATATATATATATATATATATATATATATATACATATATATATATATATATATATATATATATATATATATATATATATATATATATATATATATATATATTCTGCGACCCGCTCCCTATTTACCCTAACTGGGTGACCCTCTCCATTCTTTACCTTACACTCTCTTGCTTTCCCTACCTTGCTTAGTCGTTACCTTATACACTCATGCTCTCTCTACCTTGTCCAGGAAGCGTTACCTTACGCTCTCTTGCTCTCCCTACCTTGCCCAGATGTTACCTTACACTCTCTCTAACTAGTTCAAGCTCAGTAGTGATCTTGCACTAAGTATTGACTCCTTCTACTCACACATGTACACACAACAGAGTAGACAGCTGTACACACAACAATGTAGACAGCTAACAAACACATTGTTTAGTTGTTAAACACTAAAGCATTTATAAAACACACAAATGTTTGTGTGTTTTATTAAATGTAAACAAAGTCGCCATAACTGAGCAAAGATGTACAGGTTTCGCAAGTGTGTAAATACACGATGAATCTTGGCCCCTGGTTCAGATAATATCTCCTGTATCATATTTATTTTTTACCAATTTACATTATTATGAATTTTTGGTGTAAAAAATAATAATAAAAAATATAGTATTTTAAACAATACATATTTATGAACGAGAAAGTATTCATCAATAACAACGTGTTATTATTAAACAAACTTGAACATATTACAAAGTTAGTTACGCAAATGTGTCAATGTGAAAAGCAATTGGAACAATGAGGGGATTCGAACCCACCCGTCCAGGGCACTTGCAGCCACCAAACTCTTACTGTAAATAGTTCATGACTAGAAAAACTAGGGGCCAGATTCACGAAGCAGTTACGCAAGTACTTACGAACCAGGGGCCAGATTCACGAAGCAGTTACGCAAGTACTTACGAACGTGAACATCTTTCCTCAATCTGTGACGGCTTTGGTTACATTTATTGAACAGTTTACAAGCATGAAAACTTGCCAATCAACTGTTGTTATTGTTATAAACAGCCTCCTGGTGCTTCGGAGCTCATTAACTGTTTAATAATTGTAAACAAAGCCGCCAAAGACTGAGAAAAGATGGACAGGTTCGTAAGTGCTTGCGTAGCTGCTTCGTGAATCTGGCCCTTGGTCTGTAACCCCCGGCCCTCAATATTCTGCTTCTGTAACCGCTTCTGTATCCGTCCCCACAGGATAGGTAACAGGAGTATAACCCTCTCCACGACGCCCTATAGGATAGGTAAGAACGGACTGTTAACTCTTCCTCTACCCTCTCACAGGATTAATTTTGGGTGCGCTGTAAACACGTCATTTGTTGGTAAAACGTCTCGGGTGGTGGGACGCTATTCTTAAACAACTGGGCTTTCTTGATGGGAAATCCTTCCCCAACAAGCATTGTTCACGCTCACATAGCTGCTCACTCGCGTGCACACACACACATACACACACACACACACACACACACACACACATATACACACACAAGGGGCACACGCACTAGGCGACACAGGTGGAAAATGAGTGCCCAAATGAGCCATAGAGACGTTAGAATGAATTTTTTCAGTGTCAGAGTAGTAGACAAATGGAGTACATTAGGCAGTGATGTGGTGGAGGCTGACTCCATACACAGCTTCAAGTGTAGATATAATAGAGCCCAGTAGGCTCAGGATCCTGTACATTAGTTGATTGACCGTTGAGAGGCGGGACCAAAGAGGCAGAGCTCAACCCCCCCCACAAGCACAACGAGGTAAGCACAATTAGTTAAGTACACACACACACTAAAATGCACTAGGAAGTGATGTGGTGGAGAATGACTCCATACACAAGTGTCAAATGTAGATATGATGGAGCTAGAGAAACTCAGGAATACAGCAGTAGATTGACGGTTGAGAGGCGGGACCAAAGAGCCAAAGATCAACCCCCCGCAAGCACAACTGGGTGAGTACTAAAGTAGTTTCAAAGCGTTATACGACAATGAGTACTGGGAAGGCGGGACACCACCAGCGTATAGCTCTCATCCTGTAACTACACTTAGGTAATTACCATAAAGCGAGACACCACGAGTTGAGATCTCCTCTCGGAATTACATTCAAGTAATTACACACACTAAGTGCAAATACAATTAAGAGAATTACCATGCATGTCCAAGTAGTTTCACTCTGAATACATCATCATCTTTTCCCTCCCGACACTAACGGAAACTACTCCTTGACGCCGAATGGTCGTTTTAAACAACTAGGATGATTAATAATGACCAAACCACACCTCACAAAGTCAAGAAACGACGACGTTTCGGTCCATTTTGGACCATTAGCAAATCGGGCATCTTATCTATCAAGTAAGGCGATTAATGCTCAATGTAGGCTCAATAATACCAGGCTAATATATCGGCAGGATATACTAGCGAGGGTTGATAATAACCCAAGTCCGATTGGACTTGATAATGGCTGAGGACGGACCGAAACGTAGTCTCTTCTAGTGTGTGGTCAACATACTAGTAATTTACAAACGATTAGGCTATAGTTTGGGAAAGGGGGCGGCGCCAGGATAAACTAATTTTGTTAAAATTCCGATCTATCCTATCTCCATTATATTTCTTTGGCATTCACTATCCCTCCTCCCCCTTATCCCTATCCGTCTAATCCTCGTCCTCACTTCAGATTTATTGATTACTACAAGTTGCTTAATTATGCTCGGGAGACATTTCGCCATGTCGAAAATATCGCCGCCCTTCACACACTGAAATAGTTTTGAAATCCTTATCGAAAGCAGCGGATGTCAGTTGTTGATAATTAACATCCTGTGCCTCGCGATAGACGCATTGTACTTCTGAATGGTGAAGACTATCTTCATACACACATTCAATCACTATGTGACTTAATTCCCATAAGGGTTTAAACTCCAAAGGATTATACATATATATATATCCCAATCTGTATAGGGATTGAATCATTTACTAATGAAACGCTCCACAAGGAGAAATTGCCACGCACTCACCTTGATAATCCAGAATTGCTCAATTAATCAATATATATAACACCCAAGTGCGTTGATACAGCGAGGAGTGCGTGCTGAACGGCCAGAATTAATCTCCCCCCTCCACTTGTGCACTACCGCGCTACGGAGCGACGTGCGCACCCACGCACAGCACACGCTACACTGAAGACTTTGTTTACATCCCGGCCTGACCTCGATGCCACACACCTCCACACACACACACACACACACCTCCACACACACACTCACACACACACACACTCCACACGCACGTTAAAACACCACTTGACAACGCGAACCATTAATTTTATTCTCTATGAGTGTATTTAATAACTTTAAATATCTCACATCTTTCAACCACAATATATATTTCTATTAGTTTTGAGAATAATTATAAATAAAATAATCCGGTTTATTTATCAAAAATCATCTTAAAGCCTCATCTTAAAAGCAAAACAGTCTTTTTAGTGTACTAAATTACCAGAACCCGCAGTTAGGGTGCGGGTACCATCTGTTATAGGTGGGAATATCACCCATTGTAGTTTGCGGGTACCATCTATTATAGGTGCGGATAATATCCAATTTAGGTGCGGGTACCATACCAAGTACATTTTTTACATTTAAATCTGACAAGGTTATTGGGCAGCGCCACCCATCCTGTGAGTGGACACACCGCCATAGTGACAGTATTGGGCAGCGCCACCCATCCTGTGAGTGGACACACCGCCATAGTGACAGTATTGGGCAGCGCCACTCATCCTGTGAGTGGACACACCGCCATAGCAGCATGTACAACACTCCCCAATAGGAAGAAAACCAGCTGGGTTGTTCATCCTATCACTTGTACCCAGACACAGCTGGGACTTGCTTATCTGTCTCAAGTGAACGGCTAATCAAATTAGAAGCTTAGCATTTGTCAAGCCCTAAGCTCACCATATCTTGTGGGTGCACACTGGGGGAAATCTGTTTAAGAACAGTATCTATATATGACAAATAATATTTTCCTAACTCAATGTGGGGTATATTATTATACACATATTTCTAATATATCTTAGATGTTTACATTCTCTCAGGTAGTGGTCAAGATGGTGTCCATCACGGTAAGTGATGTAGGTGACAGAGTGGTGGTAGTGTAGGTTAGTGTAAGGGAGTGATGGAGGATAGTGTAGGTTAGGGTAAGGGAGTGATGGAGGATACAGTAGGTTAGGGTAAGGGAGTGATGGAGGATACAGTAGGCTAGGGTAAGGGAGTGATGGAGGATACAGTAGGCTAGGGTAAGGGAGTGATGGAGGATACAGTAGGCTAGGGTAAGGGAGTGATGGAGGATACAGTAGGCTAGGGTAAGGGAGTGATGGAGGATACAGTAGGCTAGGGTAAGGGAGTGATGGAGGATACAGTAGGTTAGGGTAAGGGAGTGATGGAGAATACAGTAGGTTAGGGTAAGGGAGTGATGGAGAATACAGTAGGTTAGGGTAAGGGAGTGATGGGGGATACAGTAGGTTAGGGTAAGGGAGTGATGGAAGAGAGAGACCATGATTGGGTAAGAAATAGGACCACGAAGGAAAGGTAAAGGTCCAAACATAGTAAGGCAAGGGGGGAGGTAAATACAATAGTAGTGAGGGAGGGAGAAGGGAGCAGGTGTACGTTATTAAGGGTGACAGGTGATGAGCCTCGCACAGGTGTAGGTCCCTGCTGCTGCTGCTGCCCCTGCTGCTGCTGCCCCTGCTGCTGCTGCCCCTGCTGCTGCTGCTGCCCCTGCTGCTGCTGCCCCTGCTGCTGCTGCTGCCCCTGCTGCTGCCCCTGCTGCTGCTGCCCCTGCTGCTGCTGCTGCCCCTGCTGCTGCAGCTGCTGCTGCCCCTGCTGCTGCTGCCCCTGCTGCTGCTGCTGCCCCTGCTGCTGCTGCTGCCCCTGCTGCTGCCCCTGCTGCTGCTGCTGCCCCTGCTGCTGCTGCTGCCCCTGCTGCTGCTGCTGCTGCCCCTGCTGCTGCTGCTGCTGCTGCCCCTGCTGCTGCTGCTGCTGCTGCCCCTGCTGCTGCAGCTGCTGCTGACCCTGCTGCTGCTGACCCTGCTGCTGCTGCCCCTGCTGCTGCTGCTGCTGCCCCTGCTGCTGCTGCTGCTGCCCCTGCTGCTGCTGCTGCTGCTGCTGCCCCTGCTGCTGCTGCTGCTGCTGCCCCTGCTGCTGCTGCTGACCCTGCTGCTGCTGCTGCCCCTGCTGCTGCTGCTGTTGCCCCTGCTGCTGTTGCCCCTGCTGCTGCTGTTGCCCCTGCTGCTGCTGCTGTTGCCCCTGCTGCTGCTGTTGCCCCTGCTGCTGCTGCTGTTGCCCCTGCTGCTGCTGCTGTTGCCCCTGCTGCTGCTGTTGCCCCTGCTGCTGCTGCTGCTGTTGCCCCTGCTGCTGCTGTTGAGTATGGGTGATCACTACCACCCCAGAGGATGGGTATGGTGATCACTATGAACCAAATCAATCAACTCTTACGAGCACACGACACAAGATTGATAATATAATTGAAAAAACGTTCAGAAACCTCTTCCACTGCATCACTTGGGAAGGTTAATCACCCAGAGGACATCTGTCACTCCGTGAACAGCTTAATTGTGTTTACAAGGTCATTACCACCATCTCACCAGACTAATGACTGACTGTCGCCCCCCCTGAGTCACGATGTTCTCAACATAGGGTAAATACCCTGAGCCTTTAGCTCCATCTACCCCAATCTCCTACGAAACCTTTATATCATTTATCTATCATGGTGACTTTGTTGACATTGATCAAGACGTTGCAATAGTTGCAAAGGAGGTTGTTTGAGGGGGATTGTTCAATGATTGTTCAGGTGCATGAGTCTCCTAGTACTCATGGTGAGAGGTGAGGAGGCAGAGCACACAGGCGCTGAACAAAAAATCAGTTGATTGACAGTTGAGAGACGGAACCAGAGAGCCAGAGCTCAACCCCCCCCCCCCCGCAAGCACAACTATGTGAGTACACACACGCGGGCTGGTACGGCCGTTCATCGGTATAGTGGCTATATTGTCCTCGAATTATATATATATATATATATATATATATATATATATATATATATATATATATATATATATATATATATATATATAGCGTTGTTGATGACGTGTGAACGTCATTCTGTACGTCAACGTCTCCACAATTCACTAAGACGTTTGGCTTCAGTTGGTCAAGTTATGAAGCGAATAATAAATGGCCGCGCGTGTGGCAAGGAGGGGCTGTTGTGTTTGTTCTTCCCGGCTGTGGTGATTGGTAGGCTGCACAGGTAGGTACAGGTGTGTGTGTGTGTGTGTGTGTGTGTGTGTGTGTGTGTGTGTGTGTGTGTGTGTGTGTGTGTGTGTGTGTGTGTGTGTGTGTGTGTGTGTGTGTGTATGTGTGTGGGAGGAACAGGGAGAGAGAGACAACATCTGAGGAAGTTTCTTAAACTATATAAACATTCTTGAAGAACAAATATAACCCTTGAGAGAACATGAAGCCCTGAAGAACAGCAGTGTTTAAGAACAAAGATAAATCCCTCTGGTCTTCAGAAACACCTGTGGAGAGTAGACTTAATTCCACAAAGTTTATAACTCCTATAATCGATTAGATTTGGAAAGACCGGGCCCGCGGGGACATTGATCCTTGGAATCAAAACAAGGAGGTACCTATATAGGGTTCGAACCTATAATGAACCAGCCTAACAAGGTGATTGGCCACTTGTTATAGGAAGCGTCAATACTTAGATGCTTGTGATCTTAAACCACCGGTAATTGACGTTGTGGTGTTGTATGTGGAAAGAATGAATCATTAGAGGCTCCTGGATGATTCGGGATGATTCGGGATGATTCGGGATGATTCGAGAAGCTCTCGACTCCCACCAAATTCCTGCCTGTCTTATATACATACACTTCCTCCCCTTATACTATACACCTGACTGGTTCAAAACTACAAACCTGCTATCCTGTCATCTATACACACCTACCCATCTATATTCCTGCTTCTCTCACCCCCCCACCACACACCTGCCTCCTTCTCTTCCCCCCCCACCACACACCTGTCAGCAATCACACCACCACATACACACACACATGTGGCCACTTCGGGGGAGGGGGGATATTTACACCCCCCCACACATCTGTGTCCCTGACATTACTACAAACAAACAAACCCAAAGTACCATAAAATACATACATACATACATATATATATATTATAATATATATATATATATATATATATATATATATATATATATATATATATATATATATATATATATATATATATATATATCTACATCTACAGCAGGCTTCAGACGGAGCTTGGAGCAGAGCAGAGAGCTGAGTGTGGCCGGGGTCGAGGAGCTCTCTGTGGGAGAGCGTGGCGGTTTGATTGGGAATTGCGAGTGTCTGAACTCGGATATCAACCAGCGTATGTCCGTCCCATACCCCAGATCACTCACCATGCAAAGTTGGATGAGTCTAGCCTCAAGTTTCTGGCTTCCCATTTTGGACAGACAGACATATCTGTCTCTTCTCGCCCTCTCCCTTCCTCTTCCCCATTTCATCAGCCTCTGCCCTTCTTCCCCCCCCCCTTCCCCTTTTCCCTCCCTGCTCTTCCCCTTTTCAACCTCACAGAGCATCCCTCCTCTTACGCCGTCTCTCCTCATCATCCCCGCCGTCCTCCCACCTCTCTTCATGGTTCTCCCGTCCCCTCATCTTCCACCTATCCCTCCCTCGTCTTACATCTTCACTACGTACTATCTTCACTGTATATATTATCTTCATCACCATAGCCATCATCACTGCTCACTCTCTTCATCACTGTAAACCGAATAAATTCAGTTAATCGTATTTGACTAAACCATGAACAAGCGCGGGTAAACGGCGGGAGTATCTTAAAA